TTTGATTATAGTACGGAACCGAACCGAACCGAACGGAACCGAACCCGAACGGTTCCATAATTATATTTGGACCCGACGGGTCCATTTATTAAATACCCGAAAGTTTTGGGTCGGTTTGGGTCTCTTCAGAACCGAACCGACCCACGGACAGCCCTAAGCAGAAGTAAATTCTGAAGATAAATCAAAAGTGATATAACTTGGAGCGACTACTCAACTAAAACCTAAATGTAAAGGAGTAAAAATCAACTGAAATCAACGTCGGTATTAAGTCGGACATGATGACATAATACATGATATAAGAAACTGTAAGTTGTACATAAATGAAAAATTACCTTTAGGAGAAATAGTCAGCACGAGTTAGATCAAAAATAAAGCTCTGAAATACGTTTACATAGCACAAAAAAGAATATTCACTGATATATAGCAGCTCATATTTGTACATCATTAACTACTTCAAAATCAACATTCGTACTTAAACAACAAATATGAGCTGCTATATATCAGTGAATATTCACTTACCTTTATTCAAACATGCGAAAAACAAAATGTGAAGACAACATTCTAAATTTACTTTGATGAAGTAATAATATATATTTATTCAATGAAACCTGCACACATCAATACAATTAGTAGTCAATTTTCTGACAATAATACAAAAAATCGTGTAAGCAGTTAGTTAATTTGAAATATTGAAGAATGGTGGTTTCATCTTCACAAAAGTCTAGCTACATATGTAAAGCGAATATTGACGTCAGTTGATAATCTTAAGTAGGGAACAAAATGATATATATAATCTTTGGAAAATAGATAAGAACTACAAATGTCATCAAATTTACAACACATATATATTTTAAAAATATCTATGGACATCTTATAAAATCAAGAATTTCTTGATAGACTACATTTTTTGTGCATCTATTATGTGTACCAGACTGCTCAGATGGCTTTATTAAAACTTTTATAGATTTACTTGTTTTAGCTCTAGACAAAGCAACATATAATTGTCCATGAGAAAATACAGATTCTGGAAGATACAGTCCAACAAAGTCTAAAGTTTGACCTTGTGATTTATTTATCGTCATTGCAAAACATGGACGAATTGGGAATTGAGTCCTTTTATAAGGAATTGAAGTTCTATCACTTTCAAGTGGTATAAATGGAATCCGAGGTAAAAATACTCGTTTCCCACAATATTCACCAATAACAATTTCTGCATCAATTATATTTTTTTCAAATCTTCGACAAACAAGCCTTGTTCCGTTACATAAGCCTTCAGATGGGTTAATATTTCGAAGTAACATAACAAGACAATTTTTTTTCAATGTAAGTTCATGTGGTGGAATACCATTTGGAGTTAATGTATTCAGAAAATCTTCTTGGATACTCTGTTCAGATTTGTCAATGGATTCATTAAAGCTGTAATATGTAAATATTTCGCCAGGAATTTCTTTTAGTAAAATATTATTAATTTGATCAACACATTCATTTTTTGGCTTTAAGATGACTCTATTAATCATAGTGTCTAAATTCTCCATGTAACTGTCTATATTTGGGAAAACTACATTAATCAAATGTTTAAGAGATTGAAATTCGTCTTCAAATTGTAATGTTATATCAGCTGGAAGTGTAATCATTTGACAGGAGTGTTCTTTCTCTGTACCATTTCCAATACGAAGTAAATAATTACAGAATAATGGATCAAATTGAGCTCTCATATTCTGTATCAATGGCAAATGGGTAAAAGAAGGCCACAAATACGAGAAAACCAAACTGGCTTTCATAATATCTTCTTTTTTCCCTTTTTGTACAATCGGTAAAACTTGTCGAAAGTCACCGCCTAATACAATGACTTTTCCTCCAAAAGGTACATCTATTTCGCTTATATCTCTCAACATTTTATCGAGAGCTTCAACGGTGTAACGATTTACCATTGTGCTTCATCCCAAATGATTAATTTAATCATCCTAAAAAGATCTGCCAATGCAGACTGTTTACTTATTGAACAACCAACATTATCATTTATATCTAAGGGAATTTTAAATCTAGAATGTGCAGTTCTACCACCTGGAAATAAGGAAGCAGCAACTCCAGAAGAAGCTGAAGCTATAGCAATGAGATTTTTAAGATCGAACAGCAGCTAACAAAAATTATGCCTATGACAACATTAAAATCTAGAATGTGCAGTTCTACCACCAGGCAATAAGGAAGCAGCAACTCCAGAAGAAGCTGTAGCTATGGCAATTAGATTTCTTGATCTTACAGCCGCCATTAAAGCTTTATATAAATATGTTTTACCTGTACCCCCAGGTCCATCGACAAAAAACATGCCATTATCATCATTTAAGATTCGGTCTAAAATTGTATTATAAGCATACATTTGCTCTTTATTTAAAGATTTTGTATCAAACTTATCACTTTGATTACCACCATTCATCAGCTCTTCGGAAATCATGCTA